CCAGAAGCCCTCCTCCTTAGGAGCATACTTCATGCCATAGTAGCACTTGATTCCATGCTCCTTCATGTACTTGTCGCAGTAGCTTGCGGCGTTCTGAGGGAGGGGTCCAAGGCACTTAGGGAGGAAATCCATGATGGTGAGCTTGAGGTTGGGGAAGTAGTGCTGGAGCTCAGTGACCCACTCGACACCAATGAAACCGGCACCGACGACGAGGACGTTGGCCTTCTTCTTGTTGAGGGCAGCAAGCTTCTCGTGCTCCTCGAAGATATGACGACGGCGACCCTCGATGAAACGCTCATCGATATGCTTCCACTCGGACTCAGCAATGGCACCCTCATTCACAGTAGGGGCCCAGAGAGACTCACCCCACTTCGAGAAGAGACCGAAAGTGCAACCGGCGGCGATGACGCAGTAGTCAAAGGCGACCTCCTCGGTATGATCAGAGAACATAGGCTTGACATGAGCGATCTGCTTCTCACCGTCGAGCTCAGTAACCTCACCCCAGAGGAACTTAATGCCCATAGTGCGCTCAAGAATCGACTGGTAAGTGAATGACAGAGCGTCGTAATGAGCGGGCTTGACATAAGCACGGAGAACACCGGGAGTATACTCGAAGTACTCCTTGGCATCAACAAGGGTGACATCGAAACGACCCCTGAGCTCGTTCGCGGCGAACATGCCGGAGAAGCCACCTCCGATGACTAAAGCGTGGCGCTTATCCGAAACCATTGAAAGGATAGAACTGCAAGACAGACCTATGAATCATCTTTCCACACAAACTCGAGACACGTGTTCACAAGTGAGAATCACACTAGCAACTATTTTATCTCGGCGCTAGATTCCCTAAGCTCGAGGCTGTGAATGGAACTCATTTTCGAATCTTGTTCCGAGAAAGATATCGCTACGAGTGTATTCTTAATTGGCGGGCACCTGCTTAGCTCTAAGCTATCGCAGCTTTAGTAGTAGCGCCAAGTTTCCATTCCGCATGCCTCTGCAGAAAAGTTCGTCTCAACTTCCCTCCTATTCATAGGGTCACTGTTGGATAATCTCTTGTGTTTCATGGAGAAAGTATCGCGAAATTTCAGAAATTTAATTTCTCTTGTAGACACTTGGCGTCTTCGGAACTGCGTTCGCAGCCAGGAAACATCGATTGATCGAATTTAGGTGATTCTGAATTTACTATAGTATTCCGTATTCCACAAGCAGTTGAATATCACAACCTAGTGTGAGAATAATGACGACGAATTAAGTTAGATCGATGGATGAGCAAGTCTCGATTGGGCACAGGTGCTTGCACAGCTTAAGCTCGCTCTTCCGGCAACCTCAACAGAGCGCCACATACACACAATTGACACAAAGCAATGCTTAGCTCAGTGAAAGGTGTATATTATACTCAAGTCGTCTTGAACACAAACATCGGGTCTTTGTTATATTTATCGTCAAATCGCTGCAACCATCTATCCAGCAAATCCTGAGGGCATCTCATAAACCGAGCATCGCCACCGCCGCTCGTGTTGAACGACTCAATGTACCTGCATGTAACGAAATAGGATGAAGCTCTGAGCATGACCAAGTGTCTTCTCACCGGAAGAGGTTTAAAGCAACTTTCCTGGCGAACTCTCTCTTGAAATCAGTAGACTCGCCCGCTGTACTCATCTTCGGCAAGAGAGTCTGAAAAACCGGGGAACTCGATAAATTAGCGTCTCACTACCCCCACCTCAGAAGGCTCGAAAGCTAAACCAATACGGACTGCTGGCATGCTAGCGATATCAGGGTTCAGCGGCCAGCCTGGCGAGAAGATATCAGTAGGCTTTGCGTTTGACAAGGCACCAACGAAAGCAGCACCATCTGCAAAGAACAAACTCATGAGATGCTTCCTCGAGAAAGGCCCATTGCATACCTGTGGTTGCAGTATAGTAGACTCCCAAACCTACAGCATCAGAGGGTATAGGTCGGAGAAGGAATACCGAGAAGGATGATATACTACCAGGGTTGGGCACATCTACATGCCAGCTGAAACACCACGACCATGGAGCTAGGACATGAGAAGTCTTGAGACTACCTCGTTTCAGTGTCTTGAACAAACTCAGTAATGAGAGGTCTTCCGGGGATAGCCAGGCCGAACAGAGGACCAGGTGTATTAACAGGAGGTGTATTCATAAGTTAGTGAGATAAAGTTAAGCTGCAGTCTTGAGAGGAGCGTAGTAGATCATACGCAGCTACCACAAAAACTCAACACAACGGGAGAATAACAATACAGAATGCCAAAGCCTTGCATGGGCTCGGAGACAATCGATCCGATTCAGTAGGCCTCCTTGGAAACTGCCATATCTCATTCAATCCATAAATCCTACCCCTATCTTCTACATAGTAAGAACGGCTAAACTCCATACCGCTAAAGATGCCTGGATTCGAATTGACATCCGGACGAAAGTCAGCAGTGAATGACAAAGATCATCTATACTGCATTTTCACCCAGAGTTGAGCTCGCCGTCCCTCCGGGGTTTGGAGCAGTTCGTGATTCCCTGATCAGACCCTGAGCCGAATGACTCGGGCTTGGCAACCAAATGATTGATTTTCTCGCTCAGGAGGGATAAACGCGAGGCGGCCTGAACCATTTAAGTGAATCTGATATACTCAACTCTTGGGATTTGCTCGAGGAAAGTCGAACTGGGGAGAATGTGAAACGATTCGAGTTCTGCTCTCACAGACAACGGGGCCTTGAAAGGCTTGGCAGTTTCGTCTCAGGGAGAGCATATCTCGCCAGTGTCTTCCTTTGTGGAAAAAGGGCAGTACACATAGCATGTAAGAGAAACAACTACGGAGGTTGTCCGAGGCGTTCCCAGTTCGCTGGTGAGAGCTACGAATGAAGTATTCATAACGCTGCAACTATGAACGAAACACTGATAGGATACGCGGCCGAGATTAGACATCAGAGGACCGGCAGTAAGGCCGGTGTAAACATGCGCTGTGTATTTATAAGTGGCTGTCAACCTACGAATGAGAAGTACGACTCAACGAGAGAACTCCGAGGGCGAATGGAAATACACAATAACGCAAACTCGTTAATCACATGCACATCGACCATTCGTGCCATGTGCAGATACCGTAACAATGCTTTGAGTGGAAAACGCATTTTCTGATGCATACGGTCCCAAGGGAGACCCTCTCAACTGATTCAACCTCGAGAATGGTATTAGCGCAAGAAAATTACTTATTTGCAGCAGCAAACGTGGACATCGAATTGAGTACCCTACCGCGAAGACTACGGAGTAATCCGAGTCGGATCTGAATGAGATTTTCGGGCCTGAGCCGAAATGTAGAATTCTTGAACGAGTTTTCACCAAAAATTTGGTAGAAACGAAATCCTCCCGAGCTTACGTCCTCATTAGTTCCAGCGCCATCAGCAAGATCAGTTCAATATAGGATCAGAACTACTCAAGACACTATGGCTGACCTCGTTTCAAAATCGATCACGATGGTGAGCGGAAAATCAATCGGATTGATTCAATCCTAGCAAGGTTGAAGAACGGGTCCACCGACTGATTAGCATCATTGGTATTCGTTAATGAGGATAACCTGACAGTTGAATGTAGATCTCCGTTATGGAGGAAGCTTCACTCCTAGAGCAGCTGAGGGATGATCAGAAGAATCGGCTGGAGGATCTCCAATGCGAACCAACTGACTTGGAGGAGTGTCTCTCTGACGCCGATCTCGATGAGTTCGATGACGAACAGGTGGGATCATCCGAGAAACCATTCGAGAATCGTTTCCTCTTTCTTGAGGAGACCCTCCGAGAGGTGGCTCAGAACGAGACTAAGCTCCCGGACTTTCTAGATGAGAAGCCCTTGAGGACGCTTGCTAACCCTGCTACTTTGGTTACCACTCTCCTTGGCTTTGGTCGATTTACGCTCTATACACAGGTTAAAGGTCTGTCTCTACTATGCCCAGATGGCAAACAAGTAATCACTCTTGGTCGTTTTATATCCCGTTGGGATTTGTCTCGGTTGACAAAGCCTGACGAATGGACTGAAGGAAAATGGTTGAAGATCAGATCTTGCTCTTCCTTGGCTCACCTGCTGGCTCCCATGACCCTTATGCTCTTTGCTTATGTTGCTCCCCCTAACATAGGTCTGGTTGTTCAAGAACATTGTATGAACAACAGAAAAGCACTTACGGCCTGGACGAACATCCCCATCTCGGACGACAAAGGTACCCCAAATGATCAAGAGAGAACTGCAAAAGCTCTCAGGTCTTGGTTGGAGTCTTGCTCCGAGGTTCTGGAAGCTGTGCAGACTGAGATCTCTGTTCCATTCAGGGATATTCATCCCGCAACGACATTGCGCAAGTGGTGCACGGTACTGCCCAAGACTGGTCAAACGTGGAGTGAGTTCCTCTCGCATGAGCAAGCCCTTCATTCACAGCTTGAACCTGCGATAGCATGGACAGTCAGGAGGGACAAACTGATAAAGTGTCTCACCGATTGTTATGCCTACTTCAGAGAGAGTGAAGCGACTCGTGAACAACATCTCCCCAAGCTCCGATCCTCCCGCGAGTTGAAAACCTTCCAAGACAAACTGAGATCCATAGCCGAGTGCCATGCTCCACTCACTGTGGACGATGTTTTGGGAGCTGCGCTGGAAGCTCTATGGAGCAGGAGACCTAATGCGAGCAAACTGAAGGGTCGTGCGGAGACGTCTACTCCTAAGCCTACCTCTGGTCCTGTTGTTGACAAGAACACTCCCAGCCAAAAACGAGACAGGGATGCCAAAGCAAAAGACCAATCCATCAAGCCCAAGTCCAAAGGCTGTCATAACTGTGGTGACCTCAAGCACTGGAAGAGAGACTGTCCACTATTGAAGTCCAACTTGGACTGTCCAAGCCCGTGGAGGTCAAGACCGATTCTCCGATATCTGAGAGCAAAGTTGATGACGCTAAGCGAACCCGTAATGGACAAACTTACATATTGGGTGATGGTAATGGTCTGACTTGTGGTGATGTGAAAGTACTCCTCGGGGAGAGCTCTAGTTCAGAGAGCAAAACCCTGAAAGCGGGCCTCGATACATGCTCTAGTATCAATCTGGTGTCATTCTCTGTCCTACCGAATTTCCGCTTCAAGCTAATCGACCTTCACGATGGCTTCTCTGTTGACTCCGTCGGCGGCCAAGTATCCTTGAAGCGCATGGCAGAAATTCGACTCCTGGCACAAGGAAACGTGATTAAGGCCAACTTCTACATCGTTGATGCGCACCTCCTACCGGTCAGCTTCGATCTCCTCATCGGCCAGAAAACTCTTCATGATCTTGGGTATCGCCTCGTGAATGTTGATGAGAATAAGGACGACTCGGTCCAAACATGAGTTGACTATCTTGCTCACCAAGGAGAACTACTTGCAGCCCATGAGGATCTTGAAGGAATCATCAGATCTGAGCCTACCACCGGTCCCACAGCAGAATCCTTGAAAAAAACTCACTTCGCCTACCCCAGTGGTCGAGCCTCGTCTACAGGACTCCATGGAGACAATGGTGGCAAGAGGCGTGGCCTAAGGCCACTGGCCTTCATGTTGGACGAGCTCGAAACGTGGCGGTAAGTTCGGGGGAACTGTCGTTATCGGGGCAGGGCACGGGCCCTCTTGCCTGACCAACAACCTGAAGAGGATTGCCCGTCACAAACTCACGTGTTTGAGTTTGACTGGCTGGACCCACCTGATGTTGTTGTTTAAAGTTTGAACTTCAAACCAAGCATTCGAAGAATCGCGATTTCTCTCAAGGTCTCCTACGCCTGAAATAAGGGGCCCGACAAAGCTTCGACACCGAGATCAACCGCAACCTGGCTCGGGGCTGGTGGGCTCCTCAACAAGATGTAGGGGCTCCTAGTTATACAGGGTAGTACATCACGGTATTCCCAGTTGAACAACCGGCTCATGTTGGTCATCCAGTCCGTCCCTGTCGTATAGACGTGGTCAACTACAGGGATTGGGGAAATGAGGAGATTCTGAGGAAATTTGGGGAATTTTTTGTTGATTTTCGTATGTTTTCCCTCGGGAGCTCGTATGCTAAGTTTTATAATTAGTTAGGAAATTTTTCGAGCTTAGCTGAGGAGAGCGAACATATATACTCCAACACTGCATTAGATATCTCCTGACTGCCGTTACCCAGAATATCTTCGAGAGTGCAGCGGGACGAGGGTATAGGAACGCCCAAGAGAGTGGTTTCTGTATCTGGAGCTTCCAGGGCCGCCTTATGTGAGAGGCACCACGTGGTCTTCGCTGATTCTGATGGGTTTGAGTCGTAGGTATAAGTGCCCGGAAGAAAGTTTGTGGTTTTCGGACTGGAGACCTCACCCAAAACAGTTGTTGTCTGAGAAGGAGCTTGAGAGTATCAGGAAGGACTACAAGCAGTATATAGCGCAATACGAAGCTGGCGATCGCGACTTTGCGAGTCAACAACGTGCGGCTGCGGTTGCGGACAGGAAGGCTATTCAGAACGACTTCAGGTGGAAGTTGCAGTGGGAGTGGTAGGGATTGTAGTTGCTTTATCTAGGTCTATGGTCAAGGATCTCAAGGAGTTCCGGGCTGAGATGCGCAGATCATTGGCCCGTGAAGACTAGGAAGAGGTAGGTTCATCTTACCTCTCAGTGGCTTGTATATAGTTGTGTAGGGCTTCAAGCGCTTGGCGACTTCGAGGGAAACTGTCACGTTCACTGAGACCAGAGAGATCGAGCAAGGCAAGCCGGTAGTAGCATGCGGTATACGAGTATGGTTTCCAGTGGAAACTTTCCACCTCATGGCCCTTTAAGAAGGAGGAGTTGTATTCCTTCTAAAGGATGTATGCTGCTCTCTAGCTCAAGCAAATTTATACGTAATCCCTTACCTGTGTCACTACTTCACCCTAATGCCATTGTTGCGAAATTTCTCGGTCACGTTTCAACACTTGCCTCTGGGGACTTGCGCTAGTTGTATGAGGGAGAAAGGAAGGACGCATGTCGCAGCGAAAAGGAAGCAACTGTCGGCGACAGTGCGGAAAAAACACAGTACTAGATATACTGTGGCCGCGCATTGATGAGGAACATTGCAGAGTCTCCATCAAATAAAGATGGAAAACTACTACTAGTTGGAGGAAATCAATGCTCTGGAAAGCGTGGAATTGAATCAATTTGAGTAATAAGAGTTTACATCACTAATGGAATAGGAGTTAATACTTTACTCGTTTGGTGACTACACCACATCTACTTTTTAAATTTTCATCAAGTGCTAATGTAGATTATGCAGAGGCGTTCGTTCTCATGTTAAGACCTTCATCCCGTACCGATCTGTCTCGTTTAAACCGTTATAATATTACCTCGATACTGCTTGATAACTCAGGGAGCAAACTTATGTACATGCTCGCTCTAAGCTGGTTCGATGCAGGTCGATCGCAACCCAGAGAGCTGAGGAGAGCTCATTAGTCTACAAGAATAAGGCCTCATCTTGGTTTTATCGAACCTTCCACTTTTTAGTCCGTCATGAACAACTCAAAGCAGATGTGCTTGCTGATACCTCAGTTTACTGGTTCCCGATAAGAAGCCAGCCGTGATGAACGAATCGTCCCGTGCGACTAGTACAGCACTTGCACAGTGAGAACTAACGGGCCAGAGTCGTTACAACGGCAACCATAGAAACAGAACCACCACGAGAGGTAGCAAGGAGTAAGCAATAATAGCTTACAACCTGCGACCACGGCGACCGCACTTCTTCCTGGTGGAATCGGTGGGGATGGGAGTAACATCCTCAATACGGCCGATCTTCATACCAGCACGGGCGAGGGCACGGAGGGCAGCCTGGGCACCAGGGCCGGGGGTCTTGGTCTTGGTACCACCAGTGGCACGCAGTTTGATGTGAAGGGCGTTGACACCGAGCTCCTGAAAATAGAAAGTTGAGCGAAGCGATAGTAGGAATGATTATAATTTTTTACCTTGCATCTGACAGCGACGTCCTGGGCGGCAAGCATGGCAGCGTAGGGAGAGGACTCATCACGATCGGCCTTCACCTTCATACCACCAGTGACGCGGACCAAGGTCTCACGACCGGACACATCAGTGACGTGGATGAAGGTATCGTTGAAGGAAGCGTAGATGTGGGCAACACCGAACACGAGCTCACCCTCACGGACCTGGGGACCGAGCTGGAGGGGCTCCTCAGTCTTAGGGGCTTTCTTAGGGGCCATTGGGATCAGTGGCTGGTACTAGTATGGGGAACCACTGCGCTCGCCAAGACTGGTTTAGCGCGATCGATAAGAATTATTCATTGAGAAATTGCAAAATTTGTCAAGTGCGCAAGTTGTTTGGACACGTTTGGCATAAACGTGGAATAGTAAAGGGAAGTTCCAGCTTCACGTGGTGTGATCGTTGATACGGGATTAGTGACTTCATGTCAACTTCAACAGCTCAGAACAATAGTCCCAACTTTGCCTCTACGCTGCAGTTCTACTCCTCTACTGCAGCACCACCCGTTCAGTCCAACCAGGATAAGATGGTCAACTTGGGCAAGCGGGCGGGTAGTGGTATTGGTGATGAATAGCTCATAGATGGCCTTTGTGTAGTTTGAATGAAGTTCACGCAGGAGTGGGAGTAACATTTGGTCATTGTCCTTGTTGTTGTTGTCAATGTGGAGATAGGGGCAGCTGTTGGTCACATGGCTGACGTTACAGCACTACTGGAAGCGATCGAGCGATCGCAGTCGGAAGTACAGAGTGTGAAGTTACGGATAGCGAATGTTGCTGGTAGTATAGGGGAGAACATCTGTACTGAATCGCAGTTGTAGGAGCATTTGTTCGAGTTGGGCGACTCTAGGTCTATCGCCTGCAGAGAGTCCTCATTGGCAGTCCGGAGCTCTGTAGAGTACGGCATTCCCAGATCAAGTCGATGTTTGGCGCGGAAATCCAACGATTTACTATTTTTTTTCGAAAAAAAACGCCATTTTTCAATTTTTTCCGGTGGGTTTCGATGAATTTCCTGAAATTTCATTGGAGTTTCGCCCGTGATTTGAAAAACATATATAGCGCGAATATCGAGTTTCTCACGGGGTATTGCGCCACTTCAAGTAAAACGGATGAAACTCCATTGAAATAGCAGATCATCTCAAATATGTACTGTCTTTTATCAATGGTGTTAGATTCTATTAGTGCTGAAGGAGTTGGTGTGAGTAGGTAAATTGAATCAAGTAAGGATGGCGGTGGCAACATCATCGGGGCCGTCTGCTGCTATGAAGGATGTTGGTACTAGCAAGCTGAGGGGAGAGATTGCTAAGGCGAGGGATGGAATCAGACAGTAGACCAGGTCGCTTCTTGGGGGTCGGTGGGAGGCTGGGGGGCATTAGGTTCAAAGATATGATCAAGGATGCGGCAGAGGCAGCGGCGGCAGAGGAACAGAACACTGTAGGGTTTGGAGCTCTCAAGAAGCGTATGGCGCATGACGACAAGACGAAGACATTGTAATAGGAGTAGTTTGGGTTGGTGACAGTGTTGGGGTGACAGATACGAGAGGGTTGGTGGTGACTTGACGTTGGAAACGGCTGTTGAGATGGCGTACGGCAGGGCCCTTCAGGATCCCAGGACGAGGTAGTGAGAGATATATGCTTGCTTCCCTCAGCTGAGCTCAGCAGAGTTTCATCACTTAGCTATGAATTCGAAGCGAAGTATATACTTGGAAACAAACGAAAATTTCATAATAATCAGAATTCATCAGAAAATCATTCAATCAGAATTCAAAAATAGTCCCATAATTTCATCAGAATTTCCATACCTTCATCAACACATGTAGTTGATCACGTGAATAATTTCCCTCACTAGTGCGTCCTGAGACTGTTACTCTTCAGAGCACACTTTGAAAAAAACCAGAGGAAGATGGTGTCAATTCGACAGAAAATGCACCAGGTAGTGTTCGCGTATGTGTCTATCAATCGTACCACACTTCGCACAGTTCCTTTCGGGGTTAATGGGAGGTCCGGTGCTGTATGACGAGGAGAATATAAAACCTGCTCATTATCATATGAACATCACTGACTACCATTTTGATGCTGTGAGTCGGTATGGTGATGGATTTGGTCGGACGCCGCGTACAGGTAGTTGAGCACTTCCAGGCTGCCTTTGAGGAGCTTGGCGTCCACCCTAATGCGGTGATCGATGCTGTGATGGCATTCAGGACAGTATTGATAGGTGTCTATAGAGGGAGGGAGACATGGTTGGTCAGGTTCGTCGGGAGATCACTACGGGGTGCACTGTACGTATGGAGATCGCAAGAAGGAATATGGAAAAAGGGAAAGACCTTTTGTATAGGAAGGTTGGGGGTAGTAGTAGTAGTAGTAGTAGTAGTAGTAGTAGTAGTAGTAGTAGTAGTAGCAGTAGGAGGAGGACCTAAAGGGCGCGAGTTGAAATGCGCTGGTTTAGAGTCGACGGGGATCGCCAAGTTTATGGACAGACTGTATGATCTCATTTGCATTGATGCGCGTATCAAGAAGTTCTTCCATGGCAAAGACGTTACTAAGTGAGCGGGGAGAGTTTCGGCCGCGTTGATTCGTGTGCTTCAATTAGAATCAAGAAAAGGCAGACTGTGTTCTTTACGGAAGTCCTTGGTGGTGATGAGCAGTATAACGGTGGGGAATGTGTCTATGTTTGGCTTCTTGCTCGAGTGTGAACGTACAGGCCGATCACTGCCGGAGGTACATAAGGGCATGAACGTAGATGATTATCACTTCGACTGTCTTGTTATGAATGCTGAGAGGGTCCTGTCGGGCCTTGGCCTTGGTGACGACACTATAGACGAGGTAGGGACAGCGCTGTGCCATTTCGGTGGGGAGGTGTGGCAGGTGCTTGTTGTGATGGAAAACCTCCGGGCGGACGTACTGAATCGGAAGCGTGGGATTAATGCTGCACATAAGATGGTGGATGGGAAGACGGTCCTGGAGCGTCTTGGTGGAGAAATGAATATGGAATCGCTCATTGAGACGATGTGAGACCATCTGATTTATCTGTCTTGGAAGAGTGCATTGGAGTTCGGTGGTATTCAGGTATTCGGGATGCCTAGTGGACCCTAGGGTGAAATATTACTTCGCGTTAGAGCCGGCTAAAATGACGAACCTCAAGGCTAAGATGGTATGGCTGCTCCTGGTACGTCAGCCTTTAGAAAGTTCTTTGTAAAAGGCACAAGTTATAATCGGGTTGAGCGGTGGGCCGTCGGTCTACGATCTGAAGCGTCTGCGACCGATACATTATAACATGAACATCACAGACTATCATTTCGACACGTTGCTGGAGAATCTACGAGTGAGTCATGCCGTAGTAACACGTCTAACACTTTCCTAGGTGGCATGTGAAATGATGGAGCTCACCCCGGAGCTCACACGGGACATTGCGGAAGTAGCAGCATCTGTGCGGCCTGACATCACGGCTGGGTGCACGGTACGCCTTGAAATTGCTCGGAAGAAGACAGAGAGCGCTGGTAGTGGCTAGTTTGAGGCAGAGTAGCATTTCTCTTGCCGTGGTTCTTCATCAACGGAAATTATTGGGGTTCTGTGCGATCGACTCGCGTCTCAGGTACGGATGGTCTGTTCTGTGTACTCGGCGAGGATGAAGGAATTATGAAGTTCATGGACAAACTGTACGAGTCGGTTCTCCAAGACGATCGAATTCAGCATTTCTTCTCGGGCGCAAAGTTGGACTCAGTGAAGCAAAGCCAAGGTAAAGGAGGTGATCGTCTACTTGTCATTAATCAATAGTGGTACTAATCCGATGACCACTGTGAGATGCATTTATGGAATCATTTGTTTTGGTGAACCATGCGCGACGTTGTGCTGGTCCTTTCAGCGGAGTATGTTGCACAGCTCTTTGGCTCTTCACGCGAGTACATGGGAAGGGAACTTCCCCGAATCCATGCGATGATAAGGATTGCGGATTTCCACTTCGACTGTTTCATCGAGCAGTGCAGGAAGAACCTAGCAGCATGTGGACTGGACTCAGACGCTGTTGACGAATGTAACGAGGGTAGTCGTTATTGTAAATGCGAGTAATGACGGTTGAACAGTTCCTTCACGGTCACACTTGAATCTAATTCCTACCGCTCAGCAGGGCGTCGGGCGTTTGAACATTCAGCCATATCATCATGGCGATAATACTATTACCATGTATGGCGGTCGACAGTCTGTGGTTGTTTGGGGTTCTCCAAATTGGGTTAGCTTAATGGCAGACCATCAGTCGTGAAAGTCACATGTCGGCGGTTCAGTTAGGCTAGTGAATCTGCTCCATATCATAGATAATGGTAGATGATCTCATGGTCGTTGAGGGTTTTTAAGCCGGTTTAGCTTAGTGGTAGAGCGCCAGTCTTGTAAACTGGAGGTCGGCGGTTCAATCCCGCCATCCGGCTTATTTGTCAATCTGGTTTGGACTGAATGCGTTGACCCTTTCATGGCCAAATCTTGTGAGAAAGAAGTCTTGTGAGCTAGTTTATCTCGCTATCTTGTATTCGCAACCTCTAGAAACGAGTCTCCGGCTAAGGTACAGTCCTCCTTGAAACGGCTCGGTCGTCCGTAGTGCATCCTGATCTCCGAAAGCATGATACCAAGCGGGCGCAACAGTTAGCAAATGTGAAACCCATGTAAGTCTAGTCATGCGTTCGCTGCATAACTCGTAGCACTAATGTAATCATTTCGACGATGATTGGGTGTTTTTAGATATGAACGGATTGGCGGGGAGCTTGCTATCACCAAGCTCATCGATATAGTTTACGATAAGGCCATAGTTGATACATGTCTACGTAGCTTCTTTGAGAAGAACAAAGCCAAGGTGTCTTCTATTAAGAAGAAAATGATTCAGTTCCTCTGTGGAATAACTGGTGACTTCATCTAGCGTTACCGCTAGGACGAGTCTTATGCATGGCAGGCGGCCCATCGAGTTATGATGCGAACGACATGCGGCCAGCGCACTACAACATGAACATCACGGATTACCATTTTGGTGCGATGTTGCAACTGATCAAGGAGACCTCGCTACGAGAGTTGGACTTGAAACGGAGTGGGTTGTTGCCTAGCAGTATAGGACCGGGTGTACTGGGCTCTCGGTGGTGCAGGTGATTCTCGTGAACTCATGAAACTACTTCAGCCGGTGCGGCCAATGGTCACTACGGGCTACGGCGTGAGGAGGGAGATAGCGTTGAAGAATCTATCGCTGGGCAAAGACCAGTTGTATAGGAAGTAAGCTAATCGTTGAATCGGCTGGATTCAGTGACGATGAGCATGCAGCTATAGAAAGTTCATTGTCGAGTAGATTTCAATCGGAATGTTGAGATTATGCAAACCTAGTTGTTGAAATACAGTGAGTGGTCTCGAATATGTTGATTCAACTCAGGCTAGGAGGCGAGAAGGGCATTCGAGAGACTCTGAATATTCTGTATCAAATCGTCACTACCGATACGCGAATCAAAGAGTTCTTCGACGATAAGAAAATCAAGAAGATAAAAGAAGGTCAAACGAAGTACTTCATTGAAATGTTTGGAGGTCCAAAGAAATCCACCACCCGTGAGCTCTATGCAATCCACGAAACGCTCGGCATCAACGACTTCCACTTTGATGCTTTCATCGGTGACTTCCAACGAGCAATGCTGGGCACTGGCATTGACGAGGTAGTCATGGATGAGGTAATGATTACCATCGAGCAAGTACGACCACAAGTGATGGGACGAAAGACTGTCGAAGGTAAGCGGAAGAATCGTGGGAGACTTTCAGAGGGAACCATATTTAGTTGCTGGTGTAATGAAGAACGGCAAGTCCCTGTTGATGAGGTTAGGTGGCGATATGAACTTGGAGTCTCTCGTTGAGAATATGTAGTTCCCTTGAGAAGATCTCTGGTAGAAGGCGATACGTGCAGGTACGACCGTGCCGTAGTGGACTCGCGGGTCCAATTCTTCTTCAATAGAGACAAGGCAACTCAGAGAAGGATTCGTATGCGAATGTAGCCGTAGATCGAACTCTTGACAGTGATGGGAGCACGGCTTGTAGGTACCAGTATTTAAGCGGAGCATTTGGAGGCCCGATACAATATGATCCAGCTAACCTGAAGCCCGCCCATTATAATATGAACATCACCAACTATCACTTCGACGCCGTATTGGAGGTCCTCACCAACGCAGCCAGGGAAATGAAAATAGATGTTGATACTATAGACGATATGACGCAGGTGGGTTGAGGTTTCCTTATAGAAGTTCAAGTCCTCGAGAAGAAATAGTCAGGTCGTGAATGGTATACGATCGGACGTGACCATTGGTTGCACAGTCAGAATGGAGGCAGCGAAAAAGAAGAACGAAACCGACGGTTTGGATCAGCTGTTCATGAAGTTGGGAGGACACGAAGGAATCTCTCACTTCATCAGCCACTTGTAAGCGAGACCGTTGATCTTGTATGCAATCGAATCGGTAGGTATGAGTTTGTCGAAAGAGACAACAGGATCAACATGTTTTTTGAGGGGTCCAAGTTGGAGCTCATCAAGAAGGCCCAGGCAGCTTACATCAGCATGCTTCTAGGAGGTCCGTGTCCTCAGCCGATCTTCGTCACACTGATTCCGTTCAGGATCGTCGGAATACAACGGCCGGAGTCTCGAGGAGATACACCAGACTCTGGCCATGACCGATTTCCATCTGGACTGTTTCCTCCAGTGTGTCCAGAAGTCCCTCAAAGACTGTGGGGCTACAGATGATACCACGGATGAAGTTGTGGTGCGGCTGGAGTCCGTTAGAGCGGCGATCTTGCATGCTCATTATTCTGACGTACAGTTTGCATGAACTGTGTCTTCGGCCAGGCTTCGATGACTCCTAAATCGAGTCTGCCTCATATTGCTCTACTCGCATGATCATTCATGATGTGCATATGGTGTACCCTGAGGACAATTCGAGAGTTTAGTTGCAGCATTCGGAAGAGTGGAATTCATCAGCCCTCTTTGGCGGCCCCCTGAGGGATGTCCCCGGTAGGCGCCCGGCGACGGCCGCGATGCTTGGCCTGTCTGCTGGGGTTGCTCCTCGGCGGACGGTCCCGAAGCCCCAAAGTTACCCCAATAAAACACGAAGTCGCGTTTGACCGTGATGAGGAATGCTTTTCAAAAAAGAGAAGAGCCAGCGTAACCACGGCAACTCAGACAGACGAGACCACCGTTGGAGGCGGGGGAGGTCGGAGGCTCTCCGTTGCCGTGCCGGTGCCATGGGCGGATGATCCTCCCCTCACCTCGATGTCGTTCAAGAGATCGAAAACCTCCAGTAGTCGATGGCGAATCGCTTCTTTGTGAGGTTTCGTCTATGCGTAGGTGGTTTCTTCGAAGTGAAACGAATCCCGACTGGAGGAGCCCGTGAATCGCTGAGCTTCCAGTCCAAGGTGTCACCAAGAGGACATGAGCGACAGCGTGTAGTATACTTAGGGGATACCGAATCGGTAGAGTTGCTATGATGTCGTGATAGCCCGAAAAGATTCCCCTTCAGTTTTCTGATTCCTCCTCCGCCTCATCGAGCGCCTTGTCTTCGGTATCCTCGGTCCGGAGGGCGATAAGTGAAAGTGAGGAAGACGAACTTGTTGCCAATGCCAGCGTGGTAATCACCCGCCTCCCCAGTCTTGTGGTTCGTGTTCGCCTTGCCTCAATAGGCATTTCTCCGCTTGAAAGGTTGATCGTTTCAGCCGTCTCCTCGGGACGTGACGGCTTTGCAGCAGCGCATCCAGGAGTACGAAACCCAGATTCAAGCGTTGGTGCAACGGTGGCGAACATACGTCCGTGGTGGCGCCCTCCATGATGCAGATCGAATAATCAAAATGAAGATTGAGGAAGCATCGGCTGAGCTCCTCCAGGATAATGTTTCGAGCTGACTCAGCTCGTGCATGATTGTCATGTATGATATCATCAGCCCTGTCACATTAGCGGTACACTTCCGCCTTGAGTTCAGTTTGCACTGGTGAAGGGAAGGATAGGGAGATGGAGGATTACGTTGAGACAAGACAAGGGGGCGGCCCCAAGGGGACTCCAAAATTTGTTCTGATGTGTATAAGGTTGGAAGAGGCTGCTTGGGTACCTTATGATTCGTGGTTAAGACCATATTGGAGAAGTGCATCAACTGAAGAGACCTGCAAGCGCGCGATGAGAAGGGACCGCCGGTAGCTGAGTTCTATGTGAACGCCTGTATATGACTACAGGTGCAACAACAGCGCAGTAGGGCTATTCTCAACTGTTTCAGGGTCCTACCACCACAGACCCGAGACGGCAAGCAGACAAAGGAACTTGAAACGGTGTTCATACCGGTCTCTATAGAGCAGGGTCGGGAGGATATGAAAGCAACCGATAAGACCATCAGGAAACGCGTAGCCCTTCGCCTCTATTGTTCTAGGGAGGTCGTTCGAAAGCAGGTCCCCGTGGATGTTGTCTTTTAACGAATGTGATGGTGAAGGCCAAGGACAACGCTCAGCTCAAGATCGCCCTGTTATGTCTAGACCGATCGATCGAGATCTCCCTGGGTGGGGAATCCCCACTGGGGATCGTAGATTCTGCTCCCAGTATAAGCTCTACCACACGTCTTGCAACCCGACGCTAACCCCACACTGGTGAACGCAAAACCCTTTTCTGAGAAGGCTGGGTCACCTTCGAGGACGAGGCCGCCTCTTGAGCACAAGTAGTAAATTATGATATTGCCCACCAGGGCGGCGACTTATTACTGCATGAACGAAAGACTGTGAGGTTTCGATAGCCTGAAGATGTCTCTTGCGTTATACACAACCGCGAAAACAAAGCAATCAACAAGCAAATTGTTGCGAGTAGGGAGAACAACATTGGCATCTCTTACCAACGTTGTAGGGCAGTCTTGATTCCACCATCGGGCCCTTGCTTCAGCTGGCTCTATGTAGCTCAGATTTCGGCGCTCAATGGAGCTAAGCGCGGTATGCGACCTCGCTAACATTATTTTACATGAGAGTCTGAAATATCTTCTTCGCCATCAGAGTTACGTACCAAAGGTGGAGTAGCGTTGACTTTCACCTTCGGTGAGGAGGACTCGGGCGCAGAGAGTGCCGCGTCATACATCCCCCCACAGTCGAGGCTGCATACACCTTCCAACGCCACACGTTCGTCTCCCTCATGCTTGTTCATGTGCCGTCATCGCTCGCTGATACAGGAGGTGTGAGGCCCACGTCATAAGACTTTGAACCAAGGGAGTCTTCTAGAAGGGAGCCGATGTCGCTATGGCTTGTACCCCTGTCGTTATATGATACTTCTGGCCGCCTTCAACATACCGTTGACGATCGAAAGTCGGCATGAGTTACCGCCATGTTACATCCCTTCTTATTGATGCGGCGAGATGGGCACGAAGCATGACGACGCAGAGTGGTGACGAGATGGGCGATAGAACACCCGGGTATGTTACCAGTCTCAGACCTCTCCTCTGGCTGAGACACTTCATGTGTACGGTTGAGGGCATCCAGAAATTTAACAGCTGAAGTGGAGTGACCAGGAGTCTAGGAACGCGGCAATCTGATGTTGGCAAAGGATGGTATAGGCAGAGTACGAATAAGAAGGCTATAAAGCCTGGCAATCATCAAGGAGGGTTCAATGAGCTGCGCTCCTGGCTTTTCTCTCGCTTTCTGTGGAAGGCCGAGATGGAGTTCGGGAGGACTATAGCTTCTTCTATGCGGGGAACTAAGGGTAGGACACTGCTAAGCATCCAAGCGCACGTCACCACTCACCTGACCCTGTCGGCTCCTCCTCGTCTCCTTCCCGTGTAGTCGAAATGTACCGAGATACGGCTGATGTGATCTGCGTCACGCCCGTTGCGTCGGTTCCTGCCTTAAACGTTAGGCTGCCACTTTCCTCGAATGACTTCCTCATCGGCTTTGCAGGCGCGTCGGTCCACAGCCCAGAGACCCACGTGGTGACCATTTTCGTGTATTTGTCCACAGTCTGCTCGTTTGACCCTTCCGACTGGCTTCCTTCTATGGGGACCTCAGGAGAAGGGGAGCTCGCTGCGATCAACCGCGGACTATGGCCTCCCCGGGACGAGGAGCGTCGCCGTCCCGAGCCATTAGAGACGATTGGGCTATCACTCTTCTCTCGAGGGATGCCCACCTCGTCGAGTTCTCCTTCCTGCATAGGAAGCCAATGAGAACGTTCCGTCTCAGAACTAGTGAGGGGCTCGCTCGTCGGTATTAATTCTGCAGTTGTTGCACGTTGACAGGGATCTACCCTATCATACGACGAGCTCCCTCCCTCCGCTCGAGGGAGGGCAACGCTCAGCTCTCCCTCCTGCCTGTGCGAAGGAAGTGGCGCGCGTCCACTCACCATGCCCAGCAGTATCTCGTCATTGTTTGCGATATCAACCGAGTTCTCTGGGGTTTGCCGTTCACCAGTCAAGTCGGCCTCTTCGGAAGGTACCCGCTGCATCGCTCTGCTGACACTGTAGTGTAGAGTGAAATGCCCCGACTCGCCTTCTTGAGTGAGAGCAGCCGACCCCCCACGCGGCATCTGACTCGTGTTTCCCTCCACGATGGGTTCGATTGACACATCACTCGTCTGAGTGCTACTATCGAATGACTCCCCACCATGGATTGGGTGTATGCCTCTATCTACGACGGGAGCGAACGCAGCAACACCCACGCTGCGGGTGGGCAGTATCGAGGAAACCCCTACGCTACGACAAGGCTTCCTCGTCTGACTGAATCGGCGATGACACCGTCGACATGGAAGATCTGCCTGAGACCCTGCCGGGAGGCTCTGCCTAGCAGATCTAACAGTGTTGGTTCCACGAGTTACTCGAGGAAGAGCCTCCCGAGGTGTATCCTCAGCAATAGTAGATGAATGATGCTGAACATCCCCTTCAAAGCGGAGCTCAAGGCTATCAGTCGAGTCACTGCCACTACAGCTTACAATGACCTTGGGTTCGAATTTTTCTCTCTCGCCAACCTTACGAATATCAGTCTGGACTCCACGAGCCACCGTGGCACTGGACTTGCTGCTGCCTTTATCAGCTTTACGATGCTGGCATATTATGACCACCTCATCTACGATACACTTGAGTACACAGGGAAAGATTTCCCACTGGGCCTGAGAGACACCCGACGCTGCTCGAGCCAGTCCACGGAGCCGCCTTACCGCAGTCTTCTTGTCAAGAACTTGAATATGGTTCAGTTGGTGCCATGCTAGGCGCTCGACCACCTCCATGAGACGCAGCATGAGAGAGCACAGGGGCGGCGCCCTTCGGCCCAATGCCCGCGGTATGTATCGAGCCAGGGTACTCCAGTCTCGTGGGTCGTCGCTACGAATTGCCGGCATTGAAGGCTAAGTCGGACCGAGAATATATCCGATTGACAACGCAGTAGAGAAGCTCTTTGTTATTAATCGAAAACAAATACGTTTCAATTGTCCACAGTCGGTGAAACCTTATAGGAGGAAAAGAGACCCACGCCGAGACCGCGAATGATAGACAGAAAACGACGATCCTTGCCGGGGTAATTATGTTCCCTCTGGCCCTAGGTGTGGATCCTGAAGAGACCAGCAGCCATTTGAGGGAGCTGAAGCGGCTCCTCAATGGGCCAACCTACACAGAGCATCCGGCTCTTCACTGAATGGTGTGAAATCATCGTTAAGGTCATCACCGAAGACCCAGTAGTTGGTGGATCTCATAGTCGGCGAGTCGGGATCAGAGATCGGGCAAGCATTCGGGTTGAAGCCGTATCTAGAACAGAATTGGGGTGGGAGCAGTGGCGAAGTAGAGGGCAGCACTTGGACTTACACTGAACAATCAGTCATCTGGCCTATAGTCGCTTGCCATGCCGCATGGGAGGCGACGATCCACCTCCTCACGCGCTGGGCTTCCTTATTCGAACCCAGTTGAAGGAACCATTGCAGGGCAGTGACACTCGAGGGGCCGCCGCCACCAGAGCCACTGGTCACTGGTGTTACATATATCTAAGAAAAGAAGTAGAGACAAAATCATCGATCTGCTGAGTCGGTCTTTACCTCGGAGACTCGACCATCAGTTAGATTGACCAGCGTTTGCCTCTGCCATTCACAGTCGCCATCAAGGGGACATCTCACCATAACACAGGCGCTTTCTCCAACAGTGTCCTGAAGGGGTGGACCATCTGGAAGAGCCAACACGCGGTAGACCAGGGAGACTTACCTCATCACCCGAGACGAAAAGTTTATCGGCCGGCAGAGCGAAGCGTCGTATTTCGGGCATCAAATTTTTCACTCGAATTTGGAACATCGTAGTTGTCGAGGCAGCCGAAGAGGAGTCAGGTGGAACACCAATGTTGGCCTCGTTGAAGGACATACCATAGCCGTCAGCCATCGAGCGCCCATTGATCCCCATAGACCCGAAGGCAGGGAAGGGAGCTGCCGACGGGAAAGCATTGTTCATGAAGGGGTGGACATTGCGAAAACCCGGCTGCTGCTGACCAAAGAGAGGTCCTCTCCAGGGATCTTCCCTTATCGAGGGTGGACCCCATAGAGGCTCCGGTATAGTGGAAGCAGGGCCACGGAGCCAGGCCGATGCATCCGGATTTGGGAAGGGGGCGAAAGAGGGGCACTCAGCGTTGGGTATGGGCTCCCAAACGCTGCGAGACGGTGACGTATCGGACGTCATGTCAGCGGAGGTTGCCGACGTCGGGCGAATCACTGCTGGAGCCGATGCAGGACCATGATGATGATGCGCCTTGACCGCTGGAGTTGCAGGGAGAGGCAGCCCGGCCAGTTTCGGGGGCGCAGGCGTGTCGTTGGCCTGTCTGGGTGGAGTAGTCTCCCCAACAGGTGGTTCCTGTGGTGGCGGCGGAGGCGGTGGAGGAGGAGGAGGAGGCGGTGACACTGGAGGAGGAGATGTCGCCGGACTCTTCGCTTTAGGCGTTGCCGGCGACCGCGATGACGGTATCAAGTTATCCACCTTGGCCGTCTTCTCAGACTTGCTCTGATCTTTCCTTTTCCCTGGGGAATCATCAGCTACCCTACGGGCAGGCGGCGAAGGGGACTTGGTCTCAATCGGTGGTGGAATCTTCTTAGACCGCCGCCCTGGGGTAGAGACAACGGGAGTAGCCACCTGCGGTGTCGGCTTGGGTGGCTCTTCCTTCGACACCTTCTGTTGTGAGGCCGCCGCCGTCGCCTCATTTTTCTTCTTCTGTTGTTGCTGTTGTTGCTGTTGTTGCTGCTCTGCCTCTCTCGCCTTCTGCTCGGCCAGTAACTGCTGATGGCGCTTCTTCTTACTCTGTACCGAACACCACATCATGTCAGCCGATCGCTGCACTGCCTCTGTTGGGTTGATGGCCGCTGCCGGTGGTTCTACCACGGGAGGCGGCTGGAGCGACGAGGCCGCTCTCTCCGTCGCAGAATGCTTATACTTACCGCTATGCACGATAAGCTTAAGATCGCCATCTTCGTCACCGCTCTCGTCCAAGTCGCTCCCCGTCACAGATGAGGCCTCGGCCTTCCCACTGGTGCCCATAGAGGAATCATCATTATCGTCCGTCACTTCAGTGGCCGTCGGCGCACTAGGAGCCTTCTTCTTCTTCCTGGTCTGCTGCTTCCGAGCCTGCGGCTGCTGCACCGTCTGGTGTTTACCTCCCGCATTGGCCGTATTCGCCAACTCCAATGCTCGCTTACGATCCCTCTCTGATATACGGGTCTCGAGGACCAACAACCACTGAGCATAGATCGACTTGGCCCTGCTCACAGTGTTCTGCTGCCATGCCTTAGTGTCAGGCTCGGAGGAGGCACAATAGACGGCCATCCACTTGTTCAACTCGTCGACCGACCCCCATGCCTGGATACAAGCGTGCCACCATAACTGGTCCTTGGGTATACTGGCTGTAGTAACCTCGTTGTTATGGGAAGATGAACTACTCTTCTTCTTGGAACCCTTCCTCCTACCGCCCCTCCTAGATGCACCAGCAAGGCTACCAGTCCAAGCCTGCTCGATCTGTGATGGTAGTGGTGGCGCGTTGGAGACACTACTCGAGGCCGCCATAACCTGCGGCGTCGGCAACACAGTGGCGAACTTCTGCTTGAGCACGTTCATCGAGAGCCTCGCATCCTTCTTGATAAGGCCGCTGATAACGTGTCTAGGCGTGCAGATGAGCTTGCCTGAGCACCCCGAGGTGTATACGCAGTCCTCACTGTGACGGTCCCGGACGAGGTTTTGGATGCACATGTCGTGAAAAGCGCGTTCGGGGTGACAGCCCTCGCTGCAGCGAACCCTAGCAGGATGCAGAGCCGTGCCAAGCGGCATGTCACACTTGAAGCATCTAGGGCCTTGGACCACCCTACGGACGTGCTCTTGGATAGTCTCCACTGATGCCGAATCGATTAGCTGCTCTGGGGTCAGCTGTCTGCCTATGGTTCCAGTGAGAACACTACTGCCGGTAGTGTGAGTAACATGCCAGCCAGAGTCGATAACCTTCCCCTTCACCGCGGAAGACTCTGCGTCAACCTTAGGAGAAGAAACAGATGCCACTCCTTCCCAACAGCTGGCCAACGATCCAACCTTGTCTGCATTAGATGATGCTGCTGCTTCCACTACTGGGGGCTTTTCGCCCACACTCTGCTTCCTCGGCGCCTTAGCCTAGGAAATTCAACTACACCAGGTAGAGTCATCATCGACATACCTGAGGCCTAGTCGGAGCCATCTGCCGCTGGTGCTCATTGCACAGACCCTCCATAGCATCATCCAACTTAGCCGCTGCCTCGGCAATGTACCTCTCCGCTACTCTCAGCTCCCCAGGAGTAGCAGCACCAAGGGTGGCCGCCAACTGAGAATCCACTCTAGCACGATGACCCACTACACATCTTTCTCTTCACCTGAGTCGCCGAGAGCGTGCCGCCCGGTGTAGTAGCGGCTAGGAGTGAACTCGTCCTTGGGACCAATATCTGAGGTTCACCTACGGACCTATCGTCTTGTTGAACAGTAAGTCACCTTTCTCTTCACAGCAGTCACAGCGGGGAGGACGTCAGGCAAGGCAGCATCAGGTGGGGGAGCGGGAGTCTCTGCATGAACACTGTCTTGCTGGATAGTGCCTGCCAGCACTCAATGTCAGTCGAGGCAGAGCAAGTCCCATGTACCTGGCGACATGAAGATGAGGATATCCCCATCGATGATCTTCTCCTCCTTCACTGTACGATCCACATCTCGCTTCACAGCCTCACGTACATTCACTTCCTCCCACACCTAACATAACAGTAGTAGAGGGGACGCCTAGCCCTTGATGGACCCTCGTACCTCTACAGCATCCGAGTCATCCTCAGCTGTTGCTGGTGGTGCCTCGGCTATAGTAGCTCCATCTGGAGTGTGACTGCTTATCTTAGCCCTTACCGCGGGGAAGTAATCCCGAAGCCGACAGCGCGTATCCAGGGTCATCAACCCTATCGATATTAGCCGCAGCGTCTGCGAAGGATACACTCAGCTATAGTCCTACTCCATAACTGCTCACTTTAGGGTGTACAAATTTCACCCAAACTGTCGCTTCTTCTGTCACCATGGGTGGACTTTGCTGCCCCGGCTGCTGCTGCTTCGACAACTGCTGCTTTGGAGACGCCGGGCGGTTCATCATGCAGAGTACCTTAAAGTGAGATGCCTCTTGTATGAAGGCATGGCCCAGCACGTACCACAACATGGCCTATTATGTTAGAGTTGGCCTGCTGCCCCAGCCTCTCGCGTCTGGTCGACACCTGCTTCTGCTGTACCGGTGCTGCCGCCACCTGGGGCTGCTGCTGTGGCGGCTTCTTAGCTGCCGCTCCCTGATGATGATGCTGTTGTTGCTGTTGTTGTCGACTTGCCAATGCCGCTTGATGTGCCGCTGCCTGCACCGTCGAAGGCATATACCACGCGATCTGCAAGGAGTCAGTGTACGACTCTTCATAGTTGGTCTCCATACAGCCCTACCATCCTGGACGGGGTCATCAGCTCAAACCTCTCCTGATGCGTATCAGAATAGTAACGCAAGGCAAAGAGCCTCTGCATATGCTTTGGAATCTTGAAGTGCTCTTCCACCTGCTACAACTGATAAGAGCCCCCCCTAGCGTGGCGTCTGCTACCGCTTTCATCAATCTCTCCACAGGGATGTCCTTCCTCACCAAGAACTTCCTCCCCTTATGCGGGAACATACCGTTAAGGTAGTAACCATCGACCTGACCTCCAACCCTAAGCCGACTACTACCCAAGCTCCTCCTCAGCTTACATTCGTCAGCTGGCCCTCGGTGACTAGAGTAACCTCTATTTGCGGGGACGCCGAAGCTGCAGCTGCTAAGGCAACAGCTTCCACTGAAAAGTCATCGATCAACTGTCAAGTACGGCTTGGAGGAACTCTCACTATCCTGATTGGACTGTCCGTTTTGGTCAGCTCTACCCTGTGCTAAGGCGAGCTGATCGTAGATGAGCGGCGAGTGAGCCGCAGGGTGCAGTGCATGATCCCGTGCCACCAGCTGGTGACACTGCAGATGGATAGGCTGAAGCGGCATACGATCGAATAATACGATGCCAACCGGCCAAGTGATGGTACCTTGTGGGGACCATTCCTCGCAGGAAGACCCGCTGTCACCTCAGCGTATAGGCTAGGACGAATGTGCCTGAGGCCGCACATATAAGGCATAATGCAACGAGAGAGGCTGCCAACCTAAAGTCCACCCCGCGCTCATAAAGGCGGTCCTCCTGATCCTCTCGGACGTAGCACAGCCCTACACATGCCCACTCCGGTGAGAAGACC